GACCCGCGACCACTAGCGCGCTCAGTACGAACAGGCGACACAGGACGAGACGCAGGCTCACGACGCTGAGTAAGACCTCCAGTCGGACCAGCGTAGGGAGAAGGAGCAGGCAAAGGGGAGGCAGGCTGTAGCTGCGGCTGTGACCGGACAGGCTGCGGACCCTCTAAGGGAGGAGGAGGAGGTGTAAGACCAAGAACCTGCTGCAGGAGCGGAACGAAGTACGGTCGGAGCCGCGCGGCGACGCTAGAAACAGCAGGAACAGCACCAGCAGCCCCGGCAGGAGCACCCACTCAAGCAGCACCTCCAGCAGCACCACCAGAAGCTCCAGAACCTCCAGCCGCAGCACCAGGAGCACTGTCAGTCGGGCCGCCAACGGCAGGCTCAGCGCCAACACCCTCAGCAGGACCAGCTCCAGGAGAACTCTCAGACTCAGCAGCTCCAGCACCCACAGTACGAGCGCCGGCGGTGCGCGCAGCAGCAGTACCCTCTGCAGCCGAAGAACCACCAGCACCAGCAGCACGCCTCCAGCGCCCGGCAAACCACTCACGCAGCTCCTGTGGGGAGAGTGGCTCCCGGCGAGACGAAGCACCCCCAGGCACAGCACCTCCAGGCTCAGCACCCCTAGACACAGCACCCCCAGGCACGGCACCCCCAGGCTCAGCACCCCCAGGCCCAGCACCCCCAGGCACAGCACCCCCAGACTCGGCACCCCCAGGCTCAGCTCCCCCAGGCACAGCACCCCCAGGCTCAGCACCCCCAGGCTCAGCACCCCCAGACTCGGCACCTCCAGGCTCAGCACCCCCAGACTCCGCACCCCTAGGCTCAGCTCCCGCAGCAGCACCAGAGTCACCAGTGACCTCGACAGGCTCGACCGCGTCTACCTGGGACACACCTGAAGGGGCAGGACCCTGAGGGGGGAGGGGGACTACCGGGGGGGGACCTGGTACCAAGAAGAGCGGGGGTGGGGGGAGGGACGGAGTGCGGTAGGGGAAGAGGCGGTAGTAGGGTACCGACTCGTCGAACGTGACGTCCTGGGAGGACAGAACACGTCGAGAGGTGGGGTGGTAAAACTGCCACCCAGGGGCGTCGGGGGGGAACCCCAGGAAGACGCAGGGAGAAGCACGAGGGGACAGCTTGTCCGCAGACAGGTCGCGAACAAACGCCCGAGATCCCCAGACCCGGAACGCCGACGCATCGCCAACCTTCCCCGTCCACAGCAAGGCTGGGAAGGTCTCCGGTCGAGAGACCCTGGGGTGGAGGTTGATCTGGTGCGCAGCGTACCTGACCGCAAACGGCCACAGAAAATGGGGAGCAGCCGCATGCATCATGGACGTACGAGCGACGTCCATGACCATGCCAATGCGGCGCTCAGCAATCCCATTTTGCTGCGGTGAGTCCGGAAGCGTGAAGGTCTGACGGATGCCTCGCACACGACAGTAGGCACTCAGGAGGCCGGAGGAGAACTCTCCACCTCTGTCCGAGTGCAGACGCAAAACAGGGAAGTCAGAGCCAAAGCTCCTCCGAAGCTGGAGACGAGTTGCGCGGATCCAGTCGATCAGCACCTCAGTGACCTCACCCTTGCTGCGCAAGGGGAAGACTGTGGTGTAACGCGAGTAGTCGTCAACCACCAGCAGGAAGTAGCGCTCCTGACCCTGTCCACGGACGCGGGCTGGGCCCCACACGTCCATGTGAAGCGTATGCAACGGGGCCTCTGTGGGAGGAAACTGGGAGGAGTGAGGGGCAGCACGCTGGCGCCCCTCGACACAGGGGACACAGGTGGGGCCAGGGCCCGGAGGAAGGGGAGGGAGAGACCGGGGAAGACCAGACACAAGGACTCGCGAGGCCATGCCTCTGAGCCGAAGCAGAGAGGGGTGGCCAAGGCGGTGGTGCCAGAGGAGGGTCTCGTGAGACAGACGACGACACGAGCAGGGGGCAGACTCAGGACCAGACCTGGACGCTGCAGCAAACACCTGACCAGACGAAGGGACCCTACCAGACTCAGCACCTGGAGGAGAAGCAGTGGTCAGTGTGTACAGGCTCGACCCTGGCCGACGTGTAAACGTAGCCAGGTGGCGACCTGTATCCTCCTCCGTGCAGTGGGTCACCCGCTGACGAGCAGGGGTGAACTGGTGGACACCCGCATCCTGGAGGTCAGCACCACTCACCAAGTTCGTCGAGAACGAGGGGAGGTAGAGACCAGTCAGGGTGCCAGAGGGGGCCGCCGGACACGGGAGGACAGTGGAGAAGCGAGCCAGGACAGGCCCCCCAGAGGGGTCAGCCAGGGACACTGCAACCGGCCGACTCAGCGGCGTGAGAGTGGTGCGGTCCCTAAAGAAGGAGCGAGACGCTCCAGAGTCAAGGGTGAAGGTGTGAGAGGCCGAAGCCGACACAGTACCTGAGAGGGCAGACTCACCAGCACCTGAGAGCACAGACGCACTGGCACCTAGAGCAGCAGCCTCACTAGTACCTGACGCGGCAGTACCAATGCCCAGGTCGGGCG